ATAATAATATAATGTATGATAATAACATATAATATAAAATAAAATAATAATATATAAGATAATATAATAATAATTATTTATCGTTTATTTTTCTCAAGAGCTCCAACGATCGGCCGTTTTCACGTGATCTTTTCTTTTCCAGCCTTTAATTTTTTCGTATACACTTCTTTTGCCTAGGTGACCACAGAGAAAACTTCAGCTGGAAGGATAAAAATGGTGTCCTAAAGACATCACAAATTTCTTCCTTCCAGCACTATCTTACAGGTAGACCCTTTCGTTAGTGGGTTCGGAAAAAGTATTGGAACTCAAATTCAATTAGAGACTTACTTTTCCGTCAAACACAATCCACAAATCGTCTGCGACGCAATGACGAGCCACCTCGTCTAATGAATACTCGGCAGACATCACCCGACGAGGTTAGTCGATCATCGCGCCTGCGACCGCCCCCCATCATGGTGGGCGGCCGGCGCTACTCCCGCTCTCCGGCGGAATCCAGCACTCAGTCGGCGACATTGCTAGGTGAGTACGCCGACCAATCCCGCTGAAGTGGTTCGGAACTCCGAAAGACAAGGAAATCTGCGAACATGCGGGAACGTGGGTGACCATCATGAATAGGCTCACGAATACAACGAAATGCTCACCTATTCATGCCAAGGCCAAATGAATGCCGGTTTCCGAAACGTTGTTCTTTGCATCAAAGACTTCTCAGACAACGATGTTTGCGTGAAAGGCGACAACATGTGTAGCAGAAATAGCTCGGCTTTCGTTTACGAAATTCTGCAATGACACATATTTGATCGAGTTGATTGAATTTTACAGTTGCATAAAAGTACTTCCTTCATTAGACGGAAAGGGTACAACATTGCTGCAAATTTAATAAGTCCTTAGAGATATTAATGCAATGGCATTAGTACATTTGAAGTTGCTTAGTGATTTTGACCTCCGATTGATTTCAACTTATACCTTTTCGCTGAATTCCAAGCAATCATCAATAGTTCAAAGGCTCATTTAGGAATGACACTTGCATTTCACTTGCAATGGGGATCGCGGCGAAACAAATGATTACGAGCCCAATTCTGATAATTCCGACTGAAATGATAAAAACGCCAAAACGCCCTAGTTAGCTCACCGGGAAGCATATTGGGACCTATGTAAAAAGCTCGACAATTTCCGCGAAGTATTTAGCTCAAAAAACAATATGATTAAGTGGTCTCATTCATTTTACACAGAAATAATCCACTGAACGGCTGCATCGGACAAGACGAGTGCGGCAAGGCTTTAGAAGTATGAATGCCTTAGTTCCGACTACCTGGAAAGGTTCCCACGACCGACTTTCCTTGAACCTCGGCATTGTTTGATAATTTGATGTTTTCCTTCAATAAGCAGACACGAGTTCGTTATTATAGGATTTATTAGGATACAATAGCCGACGTTTCAGCGGTTTCGCCTTCTTCAGAGCCTGGAGGGGTTAAATCGAGATGCGATCAACCCAACCAAACACTTTCATAACCCTAGCAGATAAAACTTAACAAATGAATTTGTATTCGGATAAGAAACAGCTTTATTTAAACACCTACCGTTTATTTGTTGTAAGTATTTAAGTTAGTTGATGGATAGCAGCCGCACAGAGTAATACACGGGCGCGGACTGTGCCTGTGTCAGGTCACTGGATTAGCCTGAGGTATGGCGCCAGGTCAAGCGTGATGACAAGACACTCCTCCTTGCGGTTCACTTTTGAATTTTTGCAATTGATCCAAAGCGCTTCAAGAGTTTTACGTGCTGATGTTTTCGATTCCTGCGTGAGGATAGTGACACCTTCTTCAAAATCTTCTCCGTTGTGTTCCTGAATCCTATGCCCGCCTAGTGGAGTGTTTGGTTCTAATTTAGATTTACCGACTAGGTGTTTTTTTATGCGGACGCAGAGCGGTCCACCCGTTTCGCCAACGTATTCGTCCCCGCACACTTTACAAGAGATCAGATAGACTATGCCCGAACTCACGCAATCACCGTCTTTATCGTTAGGGCAAATTATGCAGTTTTTCATTATATATAGACGGTCATATAGGCAGTTGCGAACTAGCTGGCGTCGTAGAGTGTCCGATGGTATTTCTATCACTCTTACGGAATTCTCTGGACCGATCCTTATTAAGCAACGTTTTATAGCTGCACTTACTTTCTTTAAAATAAAGGACAAAAGGAGTGGAGCCTTGTTCTCGTTAAAATTACCGCTTTGGGGCGTGGTTTTTCGTCTATGCCTATGCCGAGAAGCTGCACCTTCGTAACCACTTGAAATGGCTATTTGGCGCGCCAGTTTCGAGGACACCTTTGCTCTCTACCTGTGCATACGCTGGCAGCAGTTCGAAACATATTTCTTATAAGCGCCCTTTTGGTGCGTGAGGAATGAGAGGAGAGTTAATAAACCACTATATTCTTACTGCTTGGCTTTCGATACCATTTTATGATGTGACCGTTTTCGAATAGGTCGATTTGAACTTTTAAAAATGGAAGCCTTTCTTTCTTTCTTTCGGTTTCTCAGGGGTGAATTTTATGTACTCTGACTGTTCGCTCAATAACTCAAAACATTTGTCCATCTCCTCTTGTGTGGAGCAAATGACAAAACAATCATCTATATACCTATAGTAGAGTAATGGCCTGAGATCGATTACGGGTGCTTCCACCTTAGACATAAAGGTAACGGCAAGGGTTCTTCTATTTGTGCCTTCCATTTGGCGAGGGTTCGTGCCAGTCGCTGTCTCATTGCCAACCCTCTAATTTGCGCGTAATATTTCCTGGACCATCTGAAGATCAGTCAGTGATAAGGGTGAAGAGTTTGTAGTAATTCCTCGCCAGTTTGGTGTCGATATAACGGAAAAACATCTTGAAGACGCATCTCTTTATCGAGCATCTACTGAAAAGGAATTGGTGGATGACATTGACGGAAACTGATGGCAAAAGATCGACAGAACTAGCAGAAAGAAAGACGACAGAAAGACCGCAGACACCTGCGGTCTGGAGTTTTGGCAATATCTCAGCATTGGAGTAACTTTTACCATAAAATCAAAGATGAAAAACCCGTCATCGCACCGTAAAAGATTGGCGAATAGATAGATAGCGAAGTTAAGGTTTAATAAGAAGGAGTGAATTTCGATAGTCGAGGGATACTGCACAGCAGCGTCGTCATTGATGTCGTCTTCACTAAATCAAACATTAGCAAGCTGGGAATTATGCTGAGCTATTTTTCAATGGTACTATTGCCCTCCAATTGAATCATGAGCAAACGATGTTTATAAGAAATCGATTTTTTTAATCTCAAGTTTCGGGGGCGCTTGTAGCACAGTAGGCAGATAGAGGTGCCCTGCGGTACGCTTGGGTTCGACACAGCGTCAAAGCTCATTAAGACTTCCATTCCTGTCCCCAAATTGCTACCAGACCTGTTTGGGAGGATACCATCACTTGCCGGACATATAGGTGGCGACGGCGAGTCATTGCATAGGTCGTCAGATATGCATTAAATATCCTCTAACTATGATAGATGAAGTCGAATGCACGGAGCATCCCCTAGGCATTGATCATCAACGAGAGCTTTATTTATCCCTTACCTCAATTTCCACTGCGGTCAAAAGAATGAGCAACTCTGTATGCTGATACTGAAAGGTCTAGTACCAATGCTTCGGAGCATGAAAATAGCGGCATAGTGGACTTACAAAAGCATCCAGTGAGGAGAGCACGGAAAACGTCACCAGAAAGGAAATGAACACTCAACACTACGAAAGGCGTAATTGAGAAAACGGTGCTTGGCTCAACGCGTATCACTTAACTGAGAGAGGATTCCGAAGCTCGGGCCAACGTCAACGGCCAGTAATCAAAGACACCGTCATATACGTCAAACTGTCAAGACGCGGTGGGTGGGACACGTAATGAGTATGAGCGGCAATCGATGAACAAAAGCCGTTGGAGAGTACATTTCTTAGGATGACTAACACACAACAGGAAGACCATAGATCCGGTGGTCAAAATTCTTGACAAAAACCCTAGCGGAATGACATAATACTCAACAACTTCATAGAGAGCGCAGAACTCACTCGCAAACGTAGCTCGTCAGCGCGTACTCAAAGTTACTCGAAGGTATAAGGTAGTACAAGTGCTATAGGTGGTTACGGTTAATGGAACACATTCTATATCAGAATTCCTTCAAAATAAAACAGAATTACAATAACGCATTCAATTAGCTGTGGTAATTGTCCTGTAATTCCAGAATCTCATAATATCCTTTCTAAAAGTGCATGTAATTCCACCTAAGAATTTTCATACAATTTAGCTTCTTATTTACTGCTTATTATTTTTTTCCTATAACAGGGTATTATGTGAAATACAACAATAACAATGCTTAACTATTTACGGAACTCCTTTCTTAGGCCAGATTCGAACCCTTAATTACCCTTTCTGAGGCTGTCGTATTATCCACTGCACCATTGAGGTCCTTGTTTTTATTTGCTGTCAGCAATTTTCACAGTAGCGGTGCCATTAAAAATCACACGTCAGCTGGGAATATCTGTAGGGTACAAATGGATATTAAAGCCAATAAACCTGAAGCTGCAGTTTTCCCCAATATCCCACCATCATTGTGGTTGTATTTCACATAGTTTTCACAGAGTTTTGCCAAAACTTTGAAAATAGCCATAAAACTGCACTATATGACCAAAAAGTGACGTGCTGCACATTAAGGTTATTTTTTTTATGAGTTTCTATAACATTTTCGTCTCGTCGATGGGCCTTTGTGGCCTCGAAAACTCATACTTCCTGGTAGGGTTCTCCCTCAAGGGAGCAATTTCCTTTCTAGTGTACTTTAAAACTAGAATGAGAATGGCCGATAATTTAACAACCGGGTAGCTAAATAGTGTGCTTTTTCTTTTGCTCTCTTGTGTTGAAACCGTGACTAGCAGAAACTTTGAAGTTGACCTCATGTTTTTATTAAATATGTGCGACAATGGACGAGAAGATTACGATAACGTGTTATTTTGAGCAAACGGTTGTTTCAGCAGACGCTTTTCATGGGTTCCTGGTTTCTCGATTACTCTAAAAGTGGTTAAGAGAAAAATTTGGTTCTGTGCTGTTTTCAATCACATATTCTCATATGAAAATAGTGCTATACCAAGTCGATGTTAGTACGAGGGCCAAACTGTAGTTGGAAAATCCGTCACACCTGTGTCCATTGTTTCATTACCGTGATTTCCTTCAACAACAGCTATAGATTCCAAGGACCAAGTTTCTGCCGATATCAGCATTTTTCAATAAGTCAGTGACTTTTTAAATGACTATATATGTTCACTATGAGATATCGCAATAATATACTTTTTCCAAGAGAATGACGAGTAAAGTGTGTGTTTCTATGTGGTTCAACCACATTAATGCACATAGGGAAAAGGTACAGAATCAGCAGCTTGGACCAGATCATCTCCTTGATCCTGATCGCTCCAAGATTGGAAGTGCTTAGCTTCCTAATTTTTTTTTTTTGGAACTCTCTATCACAAAAAGAGACCATGCTTCTCACGCGAATGGGCGGCCACCAAACTGCAGTCTAATCTAATCTATTGCAGCTAGGCGTCTAGGGATTCAAGTACGGTCACAATCAGAACCTTAGCGTCGTCTAGAAACATTTAAAAAATTCAACTTAATAAAAGACCTACCAGGAAACCTATTAGGTTCTCCTCTTGATAGATAACAAATGAGGAACTTCTTAGCTAGTTTCAGGATTCCTCTGGCTAAGTGCAGTGCTAGAATTTCCTAAAAAATCCCAATTATAGTCAAAAATTTGAAAAGCATTGTGGAATGGAGACGACAGACCTTTTGACCTGTTCCGTTATTACAAAGGTCACCCGCACAAAAACAATTCAGCACTTTAGCCGTAACGTTATAATAACATATTCCATCCATCTGGAATAAACATCAAAAAGAGGAGGAGGAGTGTTTCTAGACTTCTCCAGTATGCTATTCAGTTATGAGTTTGGTCTCAAAGTAGTAAAATTGATGACGATTTTTAACCTCTCATAAAGGGACGAATATGGCTATAGGAATAGTTTATCATCGAATGAGAATGAACAAGTACGTAGTCTCTCTCGAACTTTCGTCGTCATTCGGGGAGAATCGTAGAGTAGCATGCACTGAGCTTTCTTCACTAGAACCTCGATGATCTTGAAGGATCTCTAAGCAGCTTAATTCCCCTTCTTAACTCTCGGGTAAGGCCGTTCGTTGACATCTCTACTCAGACAGACATGGCTGCAGAATTGAGATAAAACCATTTCCCTGAAAAGGAACGAGACATAAGCAACAAATCACTTCTTGATGAAAATCGTTCTCATGCTCTAGTCTATGATCAAATCTTTTAATGGTTTTGTCAAAACTGACTAGTTTTCGTTCCGCCTAGCCAAAACTCGGTGTTGCAAGAACGATCTCGTCGGCCAAGTGGAGATGGTAAACGGCAACCGTGTACCTTCACTCTCCTTCTGCCCCCTTCCAGTTTTCGCACAATTCTCTTGGCAGTAGGTGTTAAAGATTGTGGCGAAATCGCACTGCTTTGCCTAATCCGTCTTTTGACGTCGATGTTAGTATTGTTGTAGCATGGTGACATCCTGTTTGTTAATTTCTCATATAACCCACAAGGAAACTTTACATACTGACTAGTCGACGTTCAGGCTGTCCGGAGCTTGCATGGCTATTTTCATATCACTGGAGTCAAAAGCTTTCTTTGAATCAATGAAAGTAAGATAGAGGGAACTATTGTACTCTTGCGGTACTTCAATGAGTCTTGTAAGTGTATGATTGTGGTCCATTGTACCGAACCCTTTTCGAAACCCTGCTTACTCAGATATGTGTCCTTGGCCCAGTATCCTTTCATCCTGTCTATATAACTCGTGTGAAGAGTTTATAGACGACAGAAACCAAGCAGATTGAGTGACAGTTGTGGATGTCATTGAGCCCATTCCTTTTGTACCATAACACAGTCTTCCTGGTCTCCATTAAATGGCAGCCTTGCATTGGTGTTGACAAAAACATCATTATCTACTATGTGGTACCAAAATCTTCCTGTATTGAAGAAAAGTATGCTACAAGCAATGGCTCTTTGCTTAATATAGTCGAATTGCACTTTTTATAATTTCAACGTCGTCATCTCCATAGAAAATAAAGATCGTCATTGAACTCCTCGTTTTGTTTTCACTCTAAAGTCCCCCATCGTATTCCGCACATCTAATCACTAGAAAAATGGAGCCACTGTCATTTTTGAATATCATAATTATAGTATTCGGGGTGTCAACAGCAATGAGCAAAATAAAAAAGGATAGAGCTCTCGATCATCGTTAATCAATCCTAGAGGGATGTGCCATGCATTCGAGTTCATGAAGCACCGTTGAAGGTGACTGAATGCATATCTGGCCTTTGCAATGACTTGCGGCCGCCTACCGATATATCGAGTCAGTGCTACTATCCCGCCAGACAAGTGTGGCACAAATTTGACGACCTCGGAGGGATGGAAGGCTTGGTCGCAGAATCGATTCAATGTATGTGTTGCAGGGCGCCTCTGATCACTGCGCCACACGCTACCCACCAAGCAAAATGAAGATGAAAATCGGGAACACAGCATACATAGTATGGCGAATCATTTGGTGATTGCTTAGGTCGTTTGTGAAACTCTCGACGAGGCATATCCGTAGCGAGAAACCAGTTACGTGCTACCTACACTAAGATTCACAAAGTAAGATGTGAAAAAAGAGAGGTATGGTCACTGCTACCATCAGATATTGGTACAGCCATGTCTCACCATGGGCAGCAACTAGGTGTCAGATTTGTTTCCGAAGAGCTTTCACCTATCCTCGAAAATACATTACTGTTTACGGTGAAGGCACGAGACCCGCTTCAGTAGAAATATTGCAAAATTTCAGAAAAAAATTTCATTTCGGCGGGCCTTCATTTAGAAGACGAAGTCTGATGTGCCAGATAAACCAGCATGGAAATCCGGAAAACTTCGTTGATAATGAATGAAAAACAACCAACCGAATAAAGGAAATAGTGGAATTCATGCAACGTGTCAACGGGGCTATTTAAATGGAGAATAAAATAGACGGGGCGGAGCTCTTTAGTGTAGGAGAGCTACGACGAAAACAAATTTCACATGAGAGCGCCTCAGCGAAAAGAAATGAAGGACGAGATTTTGCGATTTTTTCCTATTTCATGACACATGCAAACGTAAAAAGTGTTTTTTTTTAAATGTCGTTAGCAAATGAACAAACTTACATGAGATTAAATAATGAGTAGGGTCAAAGTTTTTTACGTGATGAAGATGAGCTGCTTAGGTTAATGGAATATGTTTATATGAAATCACCTTTGCTAAAGTTATATCCTCCAACGTAGTGGTCTCATTGTGCTCTACACTGTACAGTTCAATATCCGCTTTCTTCTCACAACTATCATCATCGTAGTGCGCCTTGAATCCACAGAATGCTTGCGCTTCCTAAAGCCATGTAACATAGCACTAGTTTTCAAAATAACTGATTAACATATTTATTTATATGTTCTTATGAACTGGTCTTGTTGTGATGATGCGAATAGAACTTGAGAACACAGATAGATATATCGACCATGCATGTCTAGGTTTATAGAAAACCGGTCCTTTGAATAGATTAATAAATTGGCTTGCCGGCTGCCGTCCGCTAGAAATTCATCATGTGAGAATTTCAATCACTCCAAGCAAGCAAAAGATATCTCTGTGTGCGGAATAAGCTCTACAGTAAAATTCTGTTCGATTTTCTGCATTATGTGTAGCATCAGGGAAGCCTTGAACTGTAAGATATGTGAGTCTTTAGAAATGTTCCCCTTAATAACGGAAACCCAGAAGGCTAAACAACACTTTAAAGCGCATTGTTTCTGCCTCACAGATCTTCTTACAGAAATTTAACATCCCTACCGCGTGTCGGTCGTTTGGCCAAATGTGGTGAACGACGTAGAAGATGGATGGTTAAACGCAGAGAAAAGGGAACAAGAGTTGGCTTCGACGATTTGGGTGGATTCAGAGACCTTTGTGCAGCCGAATTAACTACCACCATTCGTACATTCACACTGTAGACTCGTTTACGTGTGTGTGGCTCCACGTTGACGAAACCGTGAGTTCACCTAACCTTGCCTCCAAAGCTGTTTGTGGCTAATCAGCTAAAGTAGAAGACCTCATACAAAAATTGCAACTTTTCGTATCTTTGAGTGGTAGAATTTAGGTAGCTGTTGTAGTTGATAAGGATAGATGGAAATTCTGCTAATACTCGATAGAATCGCACAGGAATTGGCGCGATTACAGATTCTTCTGATACTTGTGTTGAGGTAAGTGATAGCGTTCTCATCAATCATGCTCTTACTAAATCACACGATTATATTACTTCATGAAAGAGGGGCGTGATATTAAGCAGTTCATACTGCTTCTTTTCCAGACAACTTTTTAGTAAGCGCTGCGCAACGATGCGGCTTAATCTAGAAGCGTTTGGACAAGTGGAACAGAACACGAATTGAATCGCACGTTTAGGCGTAGTGTGGTACTGAGGTTTCTACTATCATATCTGCGTTTGACTTGATAAAAAATAGTAAAAGGCTAGGGAATCTTTTCTTCACGACGACTTTTTTCGGAAATCCAATTTTTGGACTTATTCAGTCAGTCAGCAGCTAACAGGAAATAATAGTATTGGGTACTCAGTTCTTATCTAAGAATATATTGAAGAATGCATTGAAGGTAACTGAAAACACTAAACGAAGAAAATATCATTTAAACGTGGCTTTTTAGGAACGAAAAGAAAATTGCTTGAATTCTTTCAATGACAGGAAGAATTTTCAGATTTAGTTTCTTGTTTTTGTTTTTTCTTCTACCAATGGTTATCAAAAGACTAGACCTAACAAGACCTTAGACTAAACTGCTTATTTGATAATTCCATCATTTATGGAAAAGATGAATAAATAGTAAAGAATAAAGCTCTTCTCGGCGTTGATCAATCCGTGAGGGATAAGTCATGCATTCGACTTCATTAGTCATCGTTTAGAGGTGATTGAATGCATATCTGTCCTTTACAATGACTTGCCTTGGTCTGCCGATGTATCGAGTCAGTGCTGCTATCCTCCTAGACAAGTCTTGTACCAATTTGCCGAACCCATAGGGATGGAAGGCTTGGCGGGCCACGGGCGCAGGATCGATTTCGCGTGTGCGTTGCAGGACGCCTCCGACCACTGCGTCACAAGTGCCCACACAGGACAAGATGATTAGACAAAAATTTTTACAATTGAATAAGGTGAAATCGCATGAAAGCCGTTTATTGGCAAAAATCTCAACGTCATTTTAAAGTGGTCCTAAGAATACGACGAATTTGCAACGGCTGTTTTTTTCAACGCTTAGGAAGGATTTTGAGCGAAATCGTCCTTACCAGTGATCTCTTCACACTCGTAACATATTCAGCAGTAAATGTGAGCATTCCCACCTTCGTAGTTATCACATCATCTCGTCCCACATAGCACCGTAATGCTGAGGCGCTTCCGACTGTCATCAATGGCAGCAAGAGCACAGAGAGCACCATTGAAACCTTATTACAGTCGACCAGATAGAACGTAAGTTAAATAACCGAAATGCCGATATTTAGTGCGAACAGAATGAGTCTAACCCTACTTATGAGATATCTACATGCTTATCATAAGTGTGTTTACCTGACCACTTCACTAAAAAAATCATTCTCTGTGTTTAATTCTTAGGGCATTCTTTGTTAAACTCAGTCATTTACACTTCAATTGTTCTACTTTTCACTTGGTGGATATTTATAGTTTTGAATGGCTGGTCTTTAGAAAACGAGAGCAATATTGGGCATATCAAAACGCTTAGACAAGTTTTTTTTGCCGGAGTCTGGAAGTTATGATAGGGTTTCTAAGGCTCTTCAAGTATTCATCACTTTCCATGAAGTTACGACGCTGTTATAAGCATGACAGTACTCCCTTTATCTCACAACCCTAAAACTCATTTTCAGTTTGGGAAGATATGCCACCGAGTGAACTCACTGTATTGCAGTTTGACATCCCGCAAAGCCCACAGGCAAAGTTACACGGTCAACTGTTGTAGGGTTTCTTTTGTAACACCACTATGAATTTAAAACGATTTGTTTATTAACATCATCTCTTATGATTGTTTTGCACTTAAAATAACTTCTCGCTACCATCTTGAGTTATGAAGATAATACGAGGTTAATAAAACGTGGAAAAATATTGAAAAATGACATATCACTGTTTCTGCAATGGCTGCAGGTAACTCGTTATTTCGAAATGCGACCGATCTTCCCTAAATCTATTACCTCGCTGAGACAGCCACTAATAGTTGGAAGTGAGGTCTGTTTATCTTTGTACATTAGATCTTACTTCGCCAAATTTATTGAGATATATTTTTGACAAATTTAGCAGTCATAAAAATCCTACTCATACTACAAAATTGAAAACTGTTTTGTTTTCTACATAATTTATACAAGTTTGGTATTTGATTTTTTCGATGAAACAGTTCCTGTTAGGGTGGATTCTTTTGTGGTACAGATAAGATTACTGTATTGCTATTTCAACAGGTTATTGTCATAAAGTGGCACATTTAGTGCTATATGAGCTCATCTTATATGATGTATGATGACAATATGGTGATCAAGACTGCTCATAGACGCCGTGATATGGATTATATAGAGCATTTTCTAGCCCATCCCTCAAAACTTACTATCATTTCATGGACGAAGTCGTGTCCTCAAACCAATTCAAAAGAGAAACATTGATATGGACACAAGGAAAGCCGGGAGCAATTGGGTTGGACTAATCAAAAGAAAAAAATATCGTTTTGAAACTGCTTTATGTATAAATCAAACGGCTATTTAGTGCTTTTCATGCTTTAGCCGTTCGGGTATAAAATATCTGAAAAAAAGTGTACAAGGAACAAAGAGAAAGATGGCGTGAATTGCATTTTAATTCACCAAAGAAGAACATAGCAGGATTTTAAAAATAGTGCTGGAAAAGAATTCCAGTGTGAAGCGGCCAGTCAAATAGAATTAACGCCAACGAAGAGAAACGTATCGGTGTTCGAAATTTAAGAGAATCTGCCACAAAGGTTTAGCCGATGTATTAACGATTTAGGTCAGCGTCAAAGTAATAGAAGACAAGGAGCGGAATGGACAACCATTGCACTTTAGAAGGAAATCACTATTCAAACTCTGTGACAAATGCGTCATATCCAGATTAGTTGCTTAAAAAGTCGTTCCGTACAAATCCCAGTACATGTGAACCCCATTGCAAATTAAGTCAACCACAAGACAAAGACGTTCTTAAAACTGGATGGCAAAGAAATGCTTGAGAAATAAGCAAAAGAAGACCAGGAACATTAAGTGGACCACAACTTACGTAAACAAACCGTTACAAATTAGACTTGGGAACAACATAAGCGTTAGATCTTTTGTTCGACTGCTAGTCTGCACTCTTCTAGATCATACGAGAATCAAATATGAGACATGAAAAGTACTTTATTGTAGTAAAAACGTTGATCACACTTTAAAACGTCGGATATTATTTTTTATTACTCAATCTACGCGAATACTAACGAGACCCTCAACCAACCGTGGGCTTCCGCTATCGGTTAACCCTTAATCCGCTTACTGTGTCGCGTAGCGAACTGTTTTAGAATCTCCATATCGCTTTCCTCAATCCTTGTTCATTTGCCGCATTATTCTTCTCACCTAGTGATTTTAACTGCAGTAGAGAACTCTTTTATCTCTTGCTTCTCAGAAATGCATTAGATAATTTCGAACTTTGATATTCCATGACGTACTGGTGAGGGCAGATTCTATCTTTCGAAATAGTTGAATGAAGAAACCTGTAAGGTGAAATGTGCAAACCAACATCGCTCATGCCACTACTGCTTTACGGAAACAACTTTTCTGTTAATTTCTGAGACTTCCACAGTACCTTATGGGAGCCCAACCAGTAATAAGAGTACCGTTTGGAGTCAGAGGATGAATGTTGAAATGCAACGGCGTACTGGTACATCGAATGCTTGTCGTCTATATAACGATTCGGTAGGTTTATGTTTGAATTTCAGAGATCTCCTCCTGCTACTATTCTTCATATCACTTGAGGAATGCGGCTCATAATTGCTTCATTGTACTCTGCACTTTATATCTCTATAAGCCCAAACGTTGTTGTCTCAGCCGAATCACAGAACAGTTTTTCGGATATTCTAGTTAGGCAGCAGCAGGAGCTGCTTGAGGTTGGTGGAAACTACTACATCCTTGTTTCCCTTCTGAAAACTTTAAACTCTCCTTTTTTCATAGCACTTTTCGCATGCATTTCTAGAGCATGTTTTGCAGAAATTGAGAGCTTAAATATTTTTAACTATAATTAACTATGGGTTGGAAAAATGGTGCTGAAAGCTCAGTGCATTTCATTTTCCTCTGGAGTACGACGGTGCGCTCTACGTTATTCAGAGTTTGATCCAGGGAGTATTACATTCACTGGTGAGGAAATCCAGCATTTATTCCGCAATCCATGATCACTGAAAGTCCCTCAAACCCCTATGCGAAGTGAAAAAGATGACGAACCGTAAACACAAACCATTGCCAAATGCGGTTCACTGGATATCAAACCCACAATAGTAAGAGTATTTATGCGATGCTCTCATCTTCATAAAGCTCTTGGGCGACAAATCCGATGCTTTTCGTAAGCCGTGAGCAGGTATAACTAATTTTGAGTGGTAAAAATGAGTAATCTTCTTTCTCTATCTCGGATTATTCGATCGCTCCTGTAATAAATAGGTGACGGTGTAACAGACAGATCATTAGTAGACAATCCGAACGGAGTGTTAAAATGTTGTTTTGGAGTGAGAGTCCTTAGTGCTTATGAACCTGACAAAGGTTGAACAATATTACTGGCTGGTAATTGTTTTCACGGCCGACATCATTATGCTCTTAATGTGTTTATCTTCCTCCATTACAGAAATCAGGTCTCTTTCAAAGCAAACACTCTATCCAAGACATTTAATTGAAAATAGTGTCGTTTATAAAAAGACTTTTGTAACAGTTGAAAAGAAGACCTTCGCGGTATAGATTACTACCTAGTAACAATAACATAGCAGTTTCACATTCACCGCCAAGTACTACGTTGAGAAGCCGGTCCAGCAGTAGTTTCTAAATTTTAGAACCCCTTATCCAATCTCGTAAGCCGCACAGATACTAGAACATACCAGAACATTCTCGAATCGGGTGCCCTTGTAGTATATTAAGCGTCATCTGCCATAGTCGTGAATTGATTAATCAGCTTCTCACGTTATCATTTACTTGACTTCGTAAGAGTGTGACTCTTTTTACACTAGTGATTCCATTTTGCTCATTCCATCATGAATCATTGCTGTTTCTTCGCTGCAACAGTAAATCTAGGTGGAAACCTTATCTCCAGAAGAGCTGTGCCTTCATTCATTATCCACACTCGTAGAGTAAGTGATTATATCAAGACAATAGGTTGTTACTTCGGGCGAAACCAAGCTTCCGCGGTATTGTTTTCCTATTTCGTCATTGTGTTCTGGAAAGAATGGTACACTATATATTTGTTCCAACATATCGTCAATGCCGCCTTCTACAGCTTAATTCCAGAAGCTTGTTTACGTCATTCAAAATTCTGAAACTTTGCTGAAAATTTCTATATCGTTTTGGATACTCTGCTGATTCCACTCTTTTAAACTACACTTGATCAGCTCCATCAACTACCTTAGCCAAAAAAACTTCGAAAATTGGAGGTTTGTATAATGTAAAATTCAAACATGGCATCTGTCTCCTTCTTCTAAATTGCTGGAGTTCTGGGCAAAAAAAATGCTGTGGCCACTAATACGAAAGATGCTTAGTATTGTTGACTGCAGTGTGGGTTGCAGAACGTTGAAAAAAAACTTCTTCCTAAGGGATAATCTCACAAATACGTGAAAATGGTTGAATAGCCCCGGGGCTTAATTGAACTACTTTACAGTTATAATGACCTAACAACAGTATTTAAGAATAATCTTGAGTCTTCGGTGCTATTGTAAGAATTTTTCAGGCGTATAGCCGATCTGATCTTCAAGTAGTTCACGCTAAATTGAATATCATGCGGAAACGATGGATGGCAAAACTGAAAAAGGACGACATTGCCCAACCTCTGTATCGGTTTCCAGTGAAGGTATTTTAATAAAGAATGGCTTGCTTCTGAACATCGCTGCAAAAAGTTATTCACATCAGAAATCAATTACATTGATTAGATGATTCGTTCATTGAGGGAACTTCTCTTATGAATGGTGGTGGTTCTGATTCTTTGTCTGTTTGAACGTAATGCACTCACCGACAGCGATCAGCACCGATAAACGCTATCGGATTAAGCAAAAACTTGTCCACAATGTGTTGTCGCTGGAATTATTGAAGAGAACCACCTATTAAAATTGATACGACGAACTTAATACAGCTGATTGAAAAGAAACGCAAGGGCAATTGTTTACTTTTGCAATTAGATATCCTGAGCTTCCAAAAAAGGCTATAGAGTATATACAGTTCAACCATAGTGATGGTGGGCAAAACTTGATCCCAGCCAGATCGATCGATAACCTACCTTTGTGGATTGTCGATCGATGGGGCAATAACTCAATCGAATCGGTAGGGACTGCCACGAAAAGAGTAATTGCGGTTCGATCTGACATGCTGTCCAAGATTTACAAGTTTTATCGGAGCTTCACTTTTGTTGTCTTTCACATAACACGCTGAGGTGAAAAAATAAAGAGCGGTAGCCAAAATTATATATTAACATTTCAGTTATTTTTCACCAATAGATTAGATCCAGTGTAATGCAAAATAAGCGCAGTTCCAGTCGTTACATTTTCTCGTAATGAGAAAAATCGCATTTCGATAGCGTGCTTGAAGTTCGTTGATCAACCAGCTGTCGGCTGTTACTCGAAACCAATCGATCCTTAATCATTTTCCCCAAAGACTTCCATTGGCGCCTCGCCGCTTGAAATTCGATTGGAGCTCCGATAAGACTTTTTAAAGATGGTTTGCTCTCCAATGTGAATCCCTTGTTGTTCGTTCCATTGTTGGAATCACCATTCTAATAAGCTTTTGCATAGAATGCCACCCTCAAGCCCTTGCTTGTACTAGAGAAAATTGATGAGAAATACTATAGAAAATCGTTTCGCTTGATGCAATAAAAGGAATGTGAAAGCGGTGAAATTAAACAGAGAGTTGTTGGAATCCTCTCTCGCTTTCGGCATACTACGGGACCGCTCGCCAGTCGTTCTCCCGTAGCGTTTTCAATGTGAGGTTAGACTGTTTTGAAACCAACTGTAATTCAACCTCAGTAGTAAAATAATCAACATGTATTTAAATTGCAGAACTTACACGAGGTTGATAAATTAGTTTTATTCCGCTACCGTTTTAACTTCTTCGCATTCATAAAATCCGATGATCCGAGTTGATGTTCCACAGCTGTTCGTCTTCTTGATGTGGCATCTTCGTAGTCATACCGAGACAGATCTTCTTCAGTGGAACGCAACATGAATGAGCCATACTCATCCGGCGAGACTTTTTTTTATAAAGAGTCGTTGTTGTTGATATCAACTAGATCCGCATCGGTACTATCGTAAGATCTCACCCAATACGAAGACGAAGGCAGCACCTCGAGATCACGAACAGCTGTGGAGCATCGACTGGGATCACAGGATGTTATGAAGACGAAGTCGTCGGAACGTTAGCCGAATTAAGCTAATTTATCAACCTCGTGTAAGCTCAATAATTTAAATACGTGAAGCAGGACTTTCTTCTCGGAAATTCTTTAGACATATGCTTTTCTATTACTTAGTGTTATTTGTTGCGATTGATAAAAAAGTGAACATTCCCACATTAAGTGGTTTCATTCGTTTCCCTTTCTTCATATTTTTCGAGCATCACGTCAATGAACACGAATGATTGTAACACTCCACGTCACATTTCAATTGTATTCACTATTCAAAAGTTAAACAACAAATCTCTGAGAAACAAGGGTTTTCGGGCGAGACGAAATCAAGCAAGGGAAAGCAGTTAAACTATACCATTTTCTTTTTCTCTTGGTTTCATGTATTCGATTGAAATAATTTGGACAATGCCATTAGAAAGAACTAAATGATAGCTCTAAACTCTCTTCCATTTCTTAATCACCTCCTATTATTCTGTTATTTCGGGCGATACACCCAGAGATCTCGTTCACTTGCAGGAGATTCAAAAGAACCTACCTCCGGAAAATATGAAAACCATTCGAGCTATTACTGACATCAACAGAAACGCTAATCTTAGCGAGTACATGTATCAAGCCGACATTATCCTTACCTTGTAAGCAACGACATATTTAATCAATGCCAAGTATTTTTACATACTCATGATCTCAGAGAAGCGAAAACTACGTAGTCCAGAATAATTTCAGAGCACAAATCGAACAGATTATCGAGAACGACGAGAACCAGGAGCGTGTTAGACGACAGGCGTATCGCGATCGCTTCTACCCAAATACTATCTGGGACAAAACATTCTACTATTATTTCGCGCCTACTGCTAGTAAGTTTTCGATATGCTGTTTGATTTCCATCAATGACCGAGTAGTTTTTCCATATAGCCATTTGATATTTGTCCACTCCTAAACCGAGTATATTCAAGGAACCAACCAGCTAGATTTCACTTCCTACCAGAACATAGTAAACCATCATATTCAAGTGTGGCTGACTTAAAAAACTGGATTAAATTGACCAAAATACTAGCATAAAAGGCGCAGCTCTCCCACTGGGCAGTGCAAGAGTGGTAAATCAGCCTCAATAAAAGGGATTATATTTTATCCCACGAATCGCTGTTGGAAATATTTTAAAACAATCTCCGGAAAGGACAATAGCGCGTTCGTTCCACACCGCAGACACCTGCGGTCCGGAGTTTTGCAAATATCTCAGCATTATTGAAAGTTGTTTTAAAACAGTTCGCTTAGCCTTTTTTGCTGACATTCCACTCACTTCGATCGATTCATAATTGAACTAGTGAAAAACGCAAATTAAGCAAAAATTTAAATTTAAAATTTAAAGCTCTGAGAAAGAACAAATTTCAGCTGACACTGTAAAGACGGTACTCAAGGCCGCAGCACAGTACTGGCAACAAAACACGTGCATTAAGTTTGTCGAAAGCACAACAGGTTGTGCTACATGTTTCTCTAATTTTTTAAACCTGAAAAGGTGCAGAAGGATTTTTTACAGCGCCTAATAGGGTTCGAGTTTTGAAGGGCGATGGCTGCTATTCGTATGTGGGAAGAGTGGGCGGTGTGCAGGATCTGTCACTGGGAAAAGGATGCGAGAGTGTATGTTCAGCATTAACCATTTCCTTATTTGAGGGTACATCGATCTACTTCAAAAACTGCATAACTAAAAAAAGTATGTTTCGCGTGAATTGTTCTTTTGACCCCTTTCGTTCCTTTATGCCATGTATCATTTATTTTCTACACATTTCGTACCTGGTCCCTCTTTTTTGCACATTTTAAAACATGATCCGACATCACAGATTGTGCGAGTCACTTATCCCATTCAATTCACTTCCTTGCATCCGTGATCTACGGGTATCTCCGAACCTTACACGTGTGGGTTCGATTACTCTTCACTATGAATGCCGTTCACTGCTGGTTGAGTCCATTCTTAGTGAAATCCTGCCATTGCCGTGCTATGGCGTTTCTATTTGGATTAGAAAGGGTGAGCTGAGCCCAGACAGGTCTGGTGCCAAGCTCTCGACCACGATTGGATAGGTGCATTTCTTGCAATAAACGACATCACTACGTGCTCTCCCTGCCCTCTTTTTAACCTTATAGAAAAGAAAGTTAAACTTTTGCTAGCAGGCATGCTGTTGTATCACCACTATTGTTTTGTATCGGTGCATTGTAATTTTTTACACCACCCGTCTTTACATCTGCTATACGCACCTCAGCAATTCTTACATTCGATTCAATTTTTCGCATCCATCATGCAAGAAGGCTTTCGAACACTCTGCATATGGGATCAATTACTGCTTGAGGAATGTCCTTTTTCTCATGAATGTCATGGGACGATGGTCTACTCGTCTATCTTTGGGTGTCTTGTGAAAACAGGGTAGAGCATTCCCATTGCGATCGCGGTGAATAAACTGTTTTACGACAGCTCTGGTACTAATTTACCTAACCCGGAGCGACGAGAGATTTGGTGAGTTCGAGGCAAGTTGGAACCAGCACTGTTCTAAGGATGAGTGGCAGTGTTGCCACTGCGATACGCACTGCCCACTGCGTTGCACTATTCTAGCGTTCTGTGACATGTCATCACATCTACCGTGCGGATCCCAACACCTCTTGCATTTTATTCGTTTTCCTCGTTTTCACCGTTCAAATATTCCTTTGAATACCTCGCGGGCTGCTCCAGTTGCTGATGGAGGATTTCGTCTTCATTATGAATGCCGTAGAATCTCGGTCGAGTCGATTCTCTTTGCAATCGTGAAGAAAGTAATGCTGGGATGTTTCAGTAGTAAAAATTACAGTAGGCAATAAATGAAAAGTTAACAATATAACGAAACTCTTTTTCTATATGTACTTTTCGTATTAGTTTCTTTGTATTGAAGACTTTATGAGTTGTGCATTAATTTCTTTTTTCTATTTTCCTTGTACGGTTTGATACACATCCATATTCCAGGTTGGTACAGCAGCACATGAATTAGGCCATGCTTTGGGACTTTTTCATACTCAGTCTAGAGTGGACAGAGATGATTTTATTAGAGTACTAGTGGCTAATATCCAGGTAAAAGTGAATTTTGATCATACATGTTATTTAACGCGTATTGTGTAGTTGTCGTAAAATGCCATCCAGTGAAGTAGATTCAATAAAGTTCACAATGGGAGGTGTGTCTAAAACAATTCTGAGTCGCACGATGAACATCTTTCTAGCCCGAATTTGTTGATCAGTTTGGTAAGGAATCAACTGCCACCAATTATAATTATGGAATGCCCTATGATTATGGAAGTATAATGCAATACGGCGCAACAAGGTGAGGTCATGATTAAGGAATTTTCACAATGTTCGTAAATACGTTGTCGCCTAACAGTAGCTGAAATGCGATGTAGCGAGGTTGGTGCTTAGAAGCAACTGCCTGAAATACACATTCGTTCATCAATCTTATCTCCTGCTTTTGGCAAACCGTTTTCTCCGTCCCTCCAGGATCGGCAGAACAGCAGAGGCAGAGGGCAGACTTGGCATGGAGGATAAAACACTGACTTAGTAACAGAATATGAACTCTTCTCGATGTACAGTACTTCATTGGGCTACTGGGCTCACAAGAGGTTGCTACAAACTTTTGTTCACTTGAGGTTTTGACGTCTTCATGTGCTTGAGAACCAGATTAAGTGAGGTCAACGTTTTGCAATTGTTCGTCCTCGCGACGTCCGTCAGCAATCGACCCGTATAAAATTCTTCCATCGAAAGAACTTCATTCGAGCGGTGCTCCTCTCTATCGGACATGACTCAATGCGACAACGAAGATCCACATCGCGAGGACGGTCGGCTTTGACAATCTGCTCGAATAAATTCAACCCTGAAGAAGTAGAAGATCTTGAAACGATTGCAGAATAAAGTTGTACATCAACTCCATGTTAGCTTAACAGTCTAACAAATAATAGCAAAATAGGTTTACTATTCATGCCAAGGTTAAATGACGAACTGTTTGAAAAATATTTCCCCGGTAAGCTTACTTGAGGTTCTTAACACGTATTTTCAATGTTCAATGGCTTGCATTTGGAGGATTTCACCTTTTTCATAGCACAAGCCTATCGTCATACAGCCTTATTCCTGTGTTTTTGAATATGAACAAGTAAATATTCTATACTTAGATATTTACTTGGATACTTGGATGGCCCGTCCTCACTGTTTGTGCGAGCCCCAGCATAATCTCCAATTTTTCGGAATCTTGCTGGTTTAGGCATTTCGATTTCCTGGAGTCCAGAGCTCAGCCAGGCCAAATTCTGCGTCAGGTCTTCACGACCACAGGCAATCTCACCCCTTGTGGATCAGAGGGAGGTTTGCCAGTTCGCGACTGGTTCAATACCAGGACGGGTGACAGTTTTTGGTATTAGTTTACTCTTAGCTGGGCTTCCTGATGGAAACGCCGGACTCCCTCTCATCTTGGGAGACCTTGCCAGAGGGATAAATGCTCCCGCTGTAAATCGCAGCCCGACTCGCAGGAACACCTCCCAGCCACGATGAGGCGGTAAACCGTTTGGAGGAAATATTCTATAGTATTTATAGAAGGCTATTTTTCAAACGAAATCCTTTGTTAAAAACTACTCATATTTTCTGTTTTGTAAAGTGTGAAGTCATCCATTTGCTGTTCATCTGGGAAAAAGATTCAAATCTACCAAGATCAGAAAATTAATCTTAGATGAGGCATTAAGCCATGCGTGATATTGAGGCATTCGCCCTTCCGGTTCGTTTTTGGGTTTTAGAAATTCGTCCGACGTGCCTCCAGAGATTTGCTCGTTAACATTTTTAATTCTTGCACGAGGATCGTGACTGCCACCTCGAAATCATCAACCTTCTGTTTTTGTGCGTAGTGACTGTCTATGGGAATACCTCGCTGAATTCCACTCTTTCCATCTAAGTGTTCATCTGCGCAAACTTCAATAACTCTGACGTTTATAAAGCGAGTCCTACACATTTTTCAATCCAATCCTGTCTCCCGCGCATCTGCACTCAAGAAATGGTTTCCTGAATGCAGCATCTTTCGATATCAATGGGAAATAGAGAATGATTTGATTAACGTTTTCATATCTAGGTTTTTGAAAAACTTTTTTATATATCCAGTGCTTCAAAACGATATTGTCACCTTCAATTTCAGTGCTTCCCGTAATGGGAGAAACACCATGGTGGCTAAACTCGCAAACTACCAACAAACTATGGGATCGGATATCGTAGCCTTCTACGATGTTTCCATGATGAATGAACACTATAACTGTAAAGGTATCAGTCTTCTTCAGTGTCTGATTAACCTGGTTTTCCGAGAGATAACAGGTTTTGTTCCATATACGAAAACTGAAAACCTATCGCAAATCTTGACGACGTCCTGTTTTGAATGATACTCTATCCTTAGATAAAACTGTAGATCTACATTGCACGAATTTTTGAGATAAACATAACATATATACCTGACTCTCATCTTTAGTGCAATGCCGACAGGACGGCTCGGCTACCTGCCAAAATGGAGGCTATCCGAACCCAAATGACTGCACAATCTGCAATTGTCCGAGTGGATACGGTGGTCCTCTTTGCAATGAAAGGGTTTGCGCTTTGCTTGTTCATTCTTCAACACCATTTTGAAATAATAACATATTCTAAGGTAAACTTCATTGTGTAACATGTCCTCATTGTCATACCTTGTCCCAACGTACCAAGCCGTAGGTTCTGTGCCGTTCCCGCCCAATCATGCCTCTCATTATTCCCTTGTCGGTAAATCGAGAAATTGCTGCTAAATTGTCCTGTACATGGGTACTCCTCCAACCATGTGAGAACGCTCCAGCATGGCTAACCCAGGACTTCATTGAGAAACGTTTCGACATTCAATAATTCGAGCATTCAACGACATTAATCACGAACAAGAAAAAACTTGAAGCAGCAGCCGAACCCACAAGCGAAAAAAGTCGAAGGTCCTCGTGGATGGTGGCTGTGACGAAACGAATCCAATTCATGAAGTGCTGGGACCTGCGCAGATTGATACGTATGGTTTTCGCTCACGTAAAAATGAAATAACATAAAATTTCTTGCCAGAGATAGGTATAAGCGTTTCAACTACGGAAAAGTATGTCATGTTTTTAAAGAGTTAGCTATTTAGTGGTGAAACTGTTTCAGCCTTCTGGATGTGGTGATATATTGATTGCCGGGCCCTCATACAGTTTAATGATAAGTCACGTTGGTGACGGCACCCGTCAAGCAAAAATGGACTTTAAAAGGTGTAATTATTGGATAAAGGTGAATCAACTGAAACATTGTATCGTAAAATTCTCGAGTGCAAGCAGGTTTTATTTTACTTAGTCTTACAGTTTTAGGCTCCACAAGGAAAGAGAGTTCAAGTTCGCCTCGAAAATTACGAAGGCTTTGGCGCTGATGGCTGCATTTATGGAGGAGTGGAAATCAAAGCCCATCCTGACCAGCTTAGAACAGGATATAGGTGAAGTCTCCTCAGTATTTGTTTCCCGCAATTTACAGAACTCCATTCAATTATTAAAAGTGATAGAAATAAAAAAAAAGTTTCTATCAACTGGAAGGAATTAGAGAAACTGTCGTGGATGTTTTCAACCTCTAAAAGTTCTTTTTACTCACTTATACGGCTCGTTGCTGTTGAAATGAATGGATAAAAAACAAAAGAGAGGAGAAAGAAAAAGCGGGGGGAATGGGGCGAGGGGGAGGAGAACAGAATGAGGAGAAGTCAAATACAACCACAACGTTGCTGAGATATTTGCAAAACTCTGGACCGCAGGTGTTTATGGTGGGGAACGAACGCGCTATTGTCCTTTCCGGGGAGTAACGCGTTCACCACCACACCATGCGGGTCCTTTGTTTCGCACGTCTCTCAGCTATTTCTATCGATCTTTTTGCCACAGCAATCACCCGTCAGCGGGGTTGATCTTCTCCTCTCATCCCTCTCACACGAAAAGGGCGCTTGTGAGAAACATGTATCGAACGGCTACCAGCGTGTGCACATGGAGACAACAGAGAGAGGAGTCCCGGAACTTGGCGCGGCAAATAGCCATTTTTAATGGCTACGAAACCGTAGCTCCAGATAGGTGTAGAGAAAACCACAGGTACCCCAACGATAACTCTAACGACAACAAGGTCCCGTTTATACTGCCCTTTATTTCAAATGAAGTAAGTGCAGCTATAAAACGCTGTTTAAGAAAAGCTGGTCTAGAAAATTCGGTAACGATAATTGAAATACCACCGAGTAACCTAAGACGCCAGCTAGTTCGTAACCGCCTATACGACCGTCTATGTGCAACGCAAAAATTGCATAATTTGCCGCAATGGTAGAGACGGTGACTGCATGAGTTCGGGTACAGTCTACCTGATCTCTTGTAAAGCGTGCGAGGACGAATACGTTGGCGAAACGGGTAGACCACTCTGCGTACGTATAAAAGAACACCTAGCCGGCAAACGTAAGCTAAGTATTCCACTAGGTACGCATAGCACGCAGAAACATAACGGGGAAGATTTTGAAGTAAGGGTTACGATCCGCGCGCAAGANTAATTTGCCCCAATGGTAGAGACGGTGACTGCATGAGTTCGGGTACAGTCTACCTGATCTCTTGTAAAGCGTGCGAGGACGAATACGTTGGCGAAACGGGTAGACCACTCTGCGTACGTATAAAAGAACACCTAGCCGGCAAACGTAAGCTAAGTATTCCACTAGGTACGCATAGCACGCAGAAACATAACGGGGAAGATTTTGAAGTAAGGGTTACGATCCGCGCGCAAGAATCGAGAACACAAGCGCGCAAAACTCTAGAGGCATTCTGGATAAATTCAAATCCGAAAATTAACCGCAGGGAGGAATGGCTTGTTATCACGCGTGATATTGGACAGTATATAAACCTGTTATTCTGATGGGATGGGCACATTACGCTTCCATGTGAATTCTGTGCGGTCGGTTTTCACGCGATATACTCAGTGGAAGACTCATAGAAAGCGGTGAGTGTGCAGAGCTATGCTAAATGTGATTGAAATCTTGGTTTAGAGTTTTCTCTGTTTGGTTATGGAGGTGTTTGGCCGAGTGGATTGCTGTCAACTTGACCCTTCCAGGCTCTGAGGAAGGCGAAATCCGCCGAAACGTCAGCTTGTGCGTAAATAAAGAAATAAAATAGCACCTCGTGCTTGCTGAACAGAAGTAGAAAGATATATCATGGTAGGTAGTTTAGTGATTCCTACATCAGGGCTGTCAGCTGGATGCTGGCACAAGCCCTGGCGGTATTTCTTCAGACTGGTTCTTCATTCCTGTGTTTAACAGTTTCTTCTTTTTATATCAGTGTAAACCTTCCTGCAAAGCTGTCTGGAAATAACATTTATTGCTGTGTTAAGCATGCTGCAGTACGATGAAACTTCATTTTTCCTTCCTTCTCGAGCAACACCTTATTGGTAATGGAGGTTCGATCTGATTTTCGTGCTTGAGGAACAAAAGGGAATTTAACTTCTGAGCGTTTAGACAAGCATACTGAAGTCCTCGGTCGGATATATTTTAATCTGGCAGTCGTGTTTGATTAAGAATTCGTTGAAAATGTTTCTGTCATAAACAAGCTTATTTTTCCTAGTCGGTGATATGGATTCTTTTCCATCCTACGGGTTATTCGATTTTTCTTACTAGGAAGGCGGTGGGAGCAGAACAAAGTTGAACCACCACGGTGTCAAAGAGGAATGTTCTATTTGTTAGGATGTAAATAAATAAATAAATAAATAAATAAATATCTAGATGTCCACGTATGTCTTACCGCTAGATGACTCCCATGACCAGCAGCGAAGATGAAATTCCAAGGAAAAGACGTACTGCACACGGGAAAGAGGGTGTTTTTACTAGTTGAATCGTTGTTGTTTTTCTGGGGCTGGATTGTCAGTTTTGCCGAAGCCTTCCTTAGTCCGTAACCAACATACGCAGCTGACGAGCGCTGTGGTTGAGAGGGATCACCTTGCGGGTAACTGGTACCAAAAAGGTGGTGACTCATGGTATTGGCTTCCCCTTAGCTGAATTTTTGGAAGAAAACGTGTACGGAACCTAAAACATGATGACATAAATAAAAGGATAAAGCTCTCAACTTTGATCAAATCCTGAGGGATGCGCCATGCATCCGAGTTCACTAAGCATCGTTGGAGGCGATGGACGGAATGCATATTTAGCCTTTACAGTCGCGGTGGCCTACTTATCGAGCCAGTGCTGCTATCCTCCCAGGCAAGTCTGTTACCAATTTGTCGACCCCGGAGAAATAAGCTGCTTGTTGTGTCATGGGTGCAGAAACCGATTCTGTATGTGTGTTTCAGGGCGCTTCGGACCACTGAGAGGGACAGGCCCTTGTGACATATAACACAATGACATATTCTTAATAATGATGAATACTCTATTGCTCTTTGTTCTTTTGAGATCCTTTTGTATTTTTTCGTAACGATTTTGTTATTTTTTGTGCCCAGTATATACCACATTTCTTCTTTCGTAAGGCTACTATGCAGACAAATTCAAAAATGGAAAGGAAACAATTTGATGTTCCCATGAGCTAGCTACATTTAACGAGTTTGATTCTAGTTTTAGCAGATTAGTGATCAACTGTTCAGAAGCAGAGAGGAAACACAGTGCACTGTCTCGGCCTCCCAAACAATACTCAGTGAATCGAGTAATTGGTGTTTAATATCGTACGTTCACGATGATTCCCACGAACACAAAACTGCACATTCCGATACAGACCTGTCTACATTTTGGGTTGATGGTTGGCGTTATTTTTGTGTTAGCTATATAACAGGGTATTGATTGCCAATTGGTTAGAGATACCGCACAAAAGAACGGTGGTCGCTGGCTCGACCAATTAAGCCTTCCATTTCTTTAAGTTCAACAACTGGTAGCAGACTTATTTCGAAAAAAGTCTTCACCAATGCATAAAGTGGCTGGCCGTAGAGAGGAGTTGAGTACACTCTAGAAGAGCTATTCAAAGACCCCACAAAACCAACTTGACCGTAATTAAACGGCATTCATGAAGAAGCAAAGTTCTCAAGTAGCAGCCAGATCCGCACACAATAATGAAGACCAGGGTGTAGGTGGATGTAGAATAAACTAGATGAAACAAGCGCAAGAGTCCATACAGTGTATGGATTAGATTCATACAAAAAATAAACAAAAAATTACGGATCACTACGCTGGTTAAGCATTTCCCAAATAGCATCAACAACTATTTGGACGCAGTCATGCACAATTGAGTAGTGATGCTTCCAAATAAAGAAAACTTCGAATGCTGCAGACACAACGAAACCATTTTTCATGGCTGGGTACAGGAAAAATGAACTCAGCTGACTCTGTGACGCATTAATTGGCGGAACTCGTTTAGCTGATGTATTTTACGATTATAATTTAGCTAGGACCATAAACCGATTTATGCTGCAGTGGTAGGACGATCATCTGTTTAGCCGCAATCAACCGACTTGTGGCGTCATGGACATTGTTCGCTTTATAAAATGCAATATATACGTATACATATATATATATATATATACATATATATATACATATATATATATCATTGAGAGGGTGCGTGTGGCGCAGTGGTAGGAGGCGCCACGGCGACACGCACGTAGAATAGATCCCAGCGCCCGTGGCCCACCAAGCCTTCCATCCCTCCGGGGTCGGCAATTTGTAACAGACTTGTCTGAGAGAATAACAGCACTGGCTCAATAGGAAGGCCACCGCGACTCATTGTAAAGGTTAGATATGCATTCCATCACCTCCAACGATGCTTAATGAACTCGAATGCATGGCGCATTCTTCATGGATCGATCAACGCCGAGAGCTTTATCCTTTATTCTTTTATCGCTCGGATTCCGGCACTTCTCGCTTTCGATTAGTTTCTTCACGTAGATTAAACACGAAGGTCCTCCAGCTTTTTGCATGTGGCTTCGGCTACTGCCTGAGTATTTTCCTTTCATCATAAATATCGTTGAATGCTCGTCGAGTCGATTCTCCCAGGAGTCCTGAGATAACCGATCTCAAGCGTTTCCACTTCGATTGCAGAGAGTGAACGTTTCTGACATAAACCCAGTACCGGTTTCCCGACCCCGAAAAGGTGAAGCGCTTAGTGAGACCGATGTGGAATCAGAGCAGCACCGTGACGGTCGATTTCACTACCACTGTGCCATCCGCCTGAGTGAGGTATATACTACGATATAAAACCTATATAGTAATAAGCACTGAAGCTGAAACATCTCCATTTCATCTTCCATTTCTTTTACCTGGAAAAAACATCGAACTCGAAATTATTTTCTGAGCAAATTTTTTCTGCAGTTTTGACTAAAATACGATAACAGAACTCACTGAGATGTCACAAGAGTACAAGGGACCGCTTTCATATACATATCCTTCTGGGGCACGTATAGTACAGTGGTTGCAAGTGCCCTGCAATACGCACATGGTCTTTGGTTCGACCCCGTA